TTTTTTTAATTAAAAAAAAATACTGAATTCTGAATGAGTTTGCAGACACTGTACTAAAAAGCTAAAAGAAGCAGAGCACTAGCTAAACGCTAAAAGAATCAGGACACTAGCTTAATGCTAAAAGAAACATGACATTATCTAAATGCTAATAAAAACAGAACACTAGCCAAATACTAAAAGACATAGGACACCAACTAAATGCTAAAAGAAACAGGACACAGAAAATTTACTGGAAGCTACAAGGTTTATTAGTTTTAAAAATGGGGTATGGCTCCATACCAAATACTCAAAAGTTACGTTTAAGAGCATTTTAAATTATATTACACAAATATGCCAACTAAATCAAACAATTTCTTGACCACTATGTTTGRAAAGTTGTGTTATAACATGTATTAAAATACAGAAATTTAACTCCTGTGAGAAATCCTGAAAAAAACCTGCTTAAATTAGGCTACCAATAAATGATGGTTCGAATTTTTTTGGTCCTTAATTAACTTGTGAAGGAGTTAAATCAGGATTTTTTTTTTCATGATTCTGTGCTGATTGTCAGCATTTATTTTTCACTATAAATACTTCACATAGCAAAATTTGTCTGGCCCACATCAGCACAGATGCCACATAAAATGACAGCCCTTTGGTAGGCTATGAAGTTAGCCACAGGTGGTCCATGCATGAGCCAGATCCACAAGACCTAAAACACAATGGAGCCAGTGGTATTAGGAAAGGATTAAAATAACCAGAGTGAACAATAAGGAGAGGGTAGAAAGCATGTTCAGGTCCAATGACTCTTGGCTGACGTGGAAGGGGGTTAAGTCTATGATGGAGATGCCAACTAAGAGAACTCGCATTACTCTTAACTCCTTAACTGCTTTAGAACTGCCAAATGTTCAGTTTGCATATCAGACATGTAGAGGGTGTAGGACACAACAGGAACTCAAATATGATTTTAAGACACAAAAACTTTTGCAAGTTTGCTTTTTATTGATTTTTTTTCTTCATCACAGTTTAACAGTATAAAATCCCACATTTTAGCAGAAAAATCACAATGTTTTTATTGTCTGGGTTCTGGTCTTATGTGTTGGCTTGTGGACTTTTTAACTGCTTGGCCCCGGTGGGTGAAGATCAACAGGGTTTTCTATAATGTCCTTCTGTCCTCTACGGAGACCCCTCAGGGCTGCGTTCTTTCACCCCTTTTATTTTTTTATATACAAACGATTGTCGCAGCCAGTGTCCGCAGCGTCACTTTTTTAAAGTTTGCTGATGATTCTGTCATCATGGTCATCATCATTCTGACCATGGGCCGGTGGTCAGGGACTTCACTGAATGGTGCGAGTCTTCCTTTTTAAAGTTAAATGTTTCAAAGACGAAGGATATGGCCATTGATTTTAGGACAAACTCTTTAGTTGCAGTTCCTGTGGTTATTAATGGTGAATCTGTTGAGGTGCATCAATATAAATATCTGTGAACTGTTCTGGATGATAAACTGGCTTTTGACGCTCATGTCAACTCACTTTGTAAGAAAGCCCACCATTTTTATCGAAAGCTCTGTGGTTTTAATGTTGATTATAATTTTATGAGAATGTTTTATTCATGTTTTATTGAGTCTCTGTTAACTTTTGCCTTCGCCTGTCTGGAGTTAACATGTAAGAACGGGAACAAACTCTTGGGGATTGTCAGGATACAGAACCTCACTGACCTACACAAGGTCAGGTCAGTGAAAAAGGTATCAGTATCAGTTGCCCAGATGTAGAACTAATAGACTTAAACTGCCTGTGACATCAAATTTTTGTAATAAGTATGAATGCGTTTTTGGAAAGGTAACATCGACAACATATTGTAAAAAAAAGATTTCATGCAACTGAGATGAACAGTTGTCGAGATATTTACATGTTCAGTAACAGGAAGTGATGTCAAAGGGGAATGTCTGAATGTTAGCATAGCATTGCTACAAAGACTGACAACACAGACTGTAGAGAAGATTCTGATGTTTAGATTTTAATTACTATAATAGAGAGATGAGGAAGAGTCAGAGTTCAGATATTATTATTTCAATAAACAAAAACCAGAGAGTTTTATTTCTTCAAGAGTTCCCCTTTGATGTCACTTCCTGTTTCACTTCATCTGAGCAAAATTCAAAAGAAAATGTGCCAATTATGTGACATAATGGGGAAAATCATGTTTATTATGCCAAATTTCTTAAATATAAAGAGGTTTTCTTTGACTTTTTGTATTTCATGGATATGCATGTACAGGCACTTTAAAAACTTTTTTTTTCATCCCTACAGTAATATTTATTTTGTTTTGTGTACTATGAATGGTTTTGTTTTTATGTCTACTGATCATGCAACCAATTGCCAACTGGGGTTAAAGATTCTTGAACTTGAGGTTTTACACCATGTAGTTTGGGAACTGAACCGCCGATCTTTGGATTAGTTTGCAAAGACTTTGTAAATGACACGACTGAAACGCGGCGCTCAGCAAAAGTTATAGCCTCAAAGTAAAAATGGTTGTTCTTTTTCCTCATTCTGTGTAACAAAAATGAAAGTGGAAATGTGCAGAAATCCACAAACTGCGAGTGGAGGGGTTGACGCATAAAGACGGAACGGTCTCCTAATCCCTCTCACTGCAGGGGCGACGGTTCTGCTGGGTCTCAGATTTATTAGTACACCTGAGCAAGCAGTCACTCATGGCAGATTTATTTATTCATTTATTTTTTTGTCTGAAATAAGTAAGTCCGATCAAACCGAAGGCTCATGATGAACTTGACTCTGCAGTCTTTTCCTTCTTTTTACAATAAACCGTCTAGTATTTGAAGGGAGTATATTTAATGTCAATAAGAACTCATTTACCAGGTACGCACAATGTACTTTCAATCTCTTATTTATGTTAATCTGTGCACAGATTTATAAAATGTGCACCGTCATTTTTCCATCACTGACAAAGTGTTTGTTATGAGGTTTAAACAACAGTTTACTGAGAAAGATCATTCAGACAAACTCGTGGGATGTTGTCCCGATGCTGTTTGTCAGTCCCCTCCTGCTTCCTCAGCTCTTAATGGTAGTCACTGCAGCATGTTGTCAGAAAAAGCTCCACCCTGCAGCCTGCAAAGCCAATCAAATTTCATTGGTTTTAGTGAGGGTCATGGTTTGGAGAGAACATTAACTCCTTGTGGGCTATGTTATAAGATCAAACCTCACAAATGTGATCCGTGAAGGAAGGATTACTGTGTTTTACTAAGTGTTCATTGTTAAATGTTACCTTTTTTACTATTCACATTCCTTCCAAAGGCTTTTTTTAATGTATTTTTCTTCTAGATCCTCTCTTTTACCTCTCTTAACTAAATTTTAGTTAATTTTTCTTCAAACATCGGTCGCTGTCGTCTTTTCTTCCCCTCCGCATTTCTTTCCATCGCAGCCTCACATGTTTTTCCTCTCTCTGTCTGTCTGGCATCCAACCCTCCCAATCCCTCCTGAGCTTCATTCATGAAAATGCAGATCCACAGCAGGGCAGGGAACAACGTCAACAGACGTAAACTCCCCTGCTCCACCAACCAGAAAAGGCGTACTATAAAAAACTGGCAGCAGCAACCAGGCGACCCTAATTCAGTGCAGCCTCCACCAGAAATAGCAACTCATGCATGTATTAATCCCCTGCTAGCCAAAAATATGTGATTGAAGGAACTCTGCTGCCATTTATTGCTTGGGACATCTCCTTTGCCACAGAAAAAGTGCTATTTATCACGATTCCTCATACGGAGCTCTGCCTCAAGTATGACTCACATTTGCTAAATATTGCATTTGATATTTGAGGAAATGTTTAAATCAGTCATTCACCTTTATATTCCTTTTTTTTTTCACTTTTCCTTTATGTGCTGGCGTTTCTTCCCTTTTTTAGCTCCCTCTCCAGCCGTCACCACACCTCTCTGCAGGAAATGCCATGAGTGGAATAGTGCACCAAATGTGATGCAGACACCATGATTTAACCTGTCACTGCACCGCAGTCCAGACCAGTTTTACTTGAGTTTATTTTTAAATCACCCTAGACGGTGTTTCTAAAAATCCAGAATAAATGTAATGTGAGATTAGGATTTATGACATAAGTGGAATAGCTACAGAGTAAAACTTTGCTTTTGTTTAAATGAGGCATTTTTAAATCATCAAATATATTATTTAATGTGACAATTTAGGTATTTCACAGTTAAAACCGATTAAAAAACAGTAAATTGTGGTGCATTGTCCTTTTTAAAAGTGAAGTTTCCAGATTCTAGAATTACATGTTTAGGTTTTTTTTTTCCTCTTTTAGTTTAAAAAATAGTCTTTGGTCGTAAATGCCCTGCTTTCTGATCTATTTTTAACCTGCGGTGCTTGTTAGGTGAATAATGCATGTCACAGCTCTGTTCTGATATTTTAAAAGTTGATGTTTATAGATGCAAACAGGGCAACGTGACGTGTAATTGCCTTGTGCCACTCTGACATTAGCGATCCCACAATGGTGCAACTTGAGGGGAAAAGTCCTCGTTTCTGCATCGCGTTGTAAATTGCACTCTTTAAGCCCAGGGCGGGCACTTCAGCTCCTGTTACAGAGAGAGTATGGCAAACTTTGTCATTTGTAGGATCGTTTATCCTCTTCAGCCCTGCTTGGTTTTTCCATTCACAATAAAGAGTCCAGACATGCAAACAATATGTTTGAATTTGATCTTTTATGACTTCATGATGGGTCAGAGGGGCAATAGACTTATATCTGACTWAGGTCTTCAGAGGAACTTTTCATTGTTTGTGTCCAAAACATTTTATTCTCAGACATCTGAGAGTTAGAACAGTGATTTACTGATATTTGTCTTCGTGTTGAGCACTCTGCATCATAAAAGATCAGTGGGGTTTTTGCATAAGACACAAAGCCACAACTTTTCTGATGGAAGTATGCGATCTGGCCACAAAAATCTGCTTTACAAATTTGTCCGTTTCCTAACACAAGACATTACTCACAGGCCATTTTCAGGGTCAGCGCCATTATGTGGTTTCACTTTAATGCTCAATTTACTTTTAACCTTTTTTTTTTTTTTTTTCAGATGGAGGAACACAACCAGATATGAAACAAAACAACCGTCCCCGAATGCCCATCAGGAGAAATTTGTCTAATTCACTCCCACCACCAAGCCCACAAGCCGTGGCCAGGGCCCAAGCATTTGAGGACCCACTCCCACTCCGMTGCACCCCAGAACCTGTCCACAGAACAGCTCAGCCACCTGGCTCCTCCAGCAGCGTGAATCTAAATATGACCTTTGAAGTCGATAACGACGATCAAACTTCAAGTAACGCGACCATCATATTAAGCCGTGGCAGTCCACCTCAACCATCAAAGTCTGCAATCGTCTCAGGTCCCAGCCTAAAGAGGCAGACCCCCGAAGCAACCAGGGGTAACCCGTTTCCTTTCAAAAGGTAAGACAATCTAATACTTTCACTGTAGGGGAAAACATTATTTGATTATCTGCTGATTTTGTAAATTTGCTCACTTACAACGAAATTTACAGTCTAATTTGTAAGGCAGGTTTGTCTTGGTTGAGACAGAATATCAACCAAAATATTTAAAAAAAAAAAAAGAAATAAAGGTTACAAATTGATTTGCGATTGAGTGGATTAACCCCCTCCAACCCAGCTAGAATTGTGGCTTGTGAAGTGTGCCTATGTGTCCATGTGGTGCACAGATTACAAAGATTCAATCACTTACAGACACCTGATTTCAACTCATGTTGTCTTTCTCCATTAAAATGAAATTACCAAAAATAATATAACTTTTCTTTGTAAGTGAATAAACTTACAACATCAGCAGTGAATCAAATAATTTCCCCCTACAGTATGTATTTTTGTAAAACATAAATTAGTTTCTACCTCGGCTTTCATCTTGGTGAAGGTATGAAAAGCTACGTTGGGCAATTCTTTGTAGTGAAAACAAAGTTACAGAACTTACAGAAAGCAGGAACCAACAAATACTTGAATGTTTCAAAAGCCTCTGTGACAAATAAGTTGCATTTAAAAACACAATATAAGAAAACGCATTCTTGTTTAAACCTTCACATTGTGTTGGTTAATATTCTTCTGTCCTGCCACCGACCCGTAGCTACTGCCTTGGCAACAGATATATTTTTAATCAATGAGTCAGAAGATAAAATGGTTTTCTGAAAGTTAAGGTGTTGTGTAACTCATTTGGTGTGAATTAATTGTCAACAGACGTATTGATCGATCCAGATTTTCATCTCAGCTTCAGTTCTTGGTTGTCTGGAGACGCAGATTAGTTATGCTGCACTGCTAAACACACTCATTAAATCTTTTATCTTCTCTTGTTATGTGTTATTAGTAGAAGTTTGCACGCTTCTCACTTTTAATGTGTCCGATAATTGTTGGGTAAAATGCCCATCGGTTGGTATATAAGCTGTAGTAAACAAAGGAACAGAAACTATAGATTTTTTTAGTGACATGCTTTACCTGTGACTCCAGAAAGCATCAAACTCAACATTATACTGGTTGTACAGGAAATAAAATAATAAATACTGGAATTTTTTTAAGGGAGGTCAACAATGGTACCAATCTAAGTACCTCAAAGTACAGGTCCTGATGCATCTCAGTGATCCAGGTAGAAAAATAAAAAAAATAAGTGTCTTCTGGATGGGTTTTTCTTTGAAACATTTCATCTCTCCTCCAAGAGACTTCTTCAGTCTGAGGAGTTTCAAGTAAACTCAGACTTACAAGCAATGCCTCCACATGGTGGACAAACAGGTTTAACGATGATAATCAATTTTCACTTGCAAAGGAGGACCATCAGCCTAACAATAGATCGTTAGTGCCCTGACCATCACCCAAATCCAGACCCGTGGTCATTCCATTTGTTGCTGGAGTTTCAGAGAAACTGAGACTAAACATGACGTCCCAGTGGCTTTCAAACCCCAAAACACATTAAGTGAAAGATTGGTTCACCCCAAAGATCCAGTCCCCACAGCACAAATAGAGTAATGTTGTGTATGCTGTTAAGTGATGCTGTCCAAAAGAATGGGCCAACACAGAAGAGCTACATCATCAGGCCAGGACTCTGCAGTTTACACTCATCTACATTTACACTCATCTACAGCGGTCACTCTTTCAGAGATGAGGATGTTCTCATTCTTGATAGAGAAGAACGCTGGTTTGAGAGAGGAGTAAAGGAAGTCATTTTTGTGGGAAAAAAACATCCATCATTAAACAGGGGTTTAATGCTTATAATGATGTTATTGCAAGTATGACTCAGCCTAGAGCTGGGCAGTATGACCCAAATTTTATATCACAGTATTTGACGGTGGGTTTTTTTTTTTCATTACAGCTCAGCTGATAATAAAATGTACAAATTTTGCTTATTGACTTTTTTCTTTTACTGTACCTCTGTCTGTGTCGCTGTTTCCCTCCTCTGTACGTCTGTTCTTCTTTGCCTGGTTGTAGACAGTAATGATGCATTTTGGTCCGATCGTGAAGGGTTGAGAAAAGATAATTATCGGGTCTATCATTGTGTGTTAATAAAACTTAAAAGGACGACTCACCTTGCACACCAGTCAACTCAGCTCTACTACAAAACTACTATCCCTGGGCTTTTCACAATAAAAGCACATTAAAGTTGTCTCCAAACATTAACGTCTCCACTATAACGTCGCGCATTAAATCTAACCGTGCACGTCACTGAAGAGACGTTTACTACATTCAGCGATGGTGAAAACGGGATGTTTTTTTTTTTTTACTTAAGTCAATATAAGCAGCTGAAACACCACCCGCCACCAGTTACTCCAACAATAACATTAGCATGCTAACGCACATAGCGGTGCTGCGAGGAAAAGTGTCCCCCAGGAAACAGTTCACTGGCAGCTGCGACGAAACGTTCCGAACACGTTCAGGCTATTTAAACCGGTATGTTCAGTATTCAGAAAATTCATATCATAAAAAAAAATTAAAAATAGTTTTTGGTACAAAACGGTATACCGCCCAGCACTAACTCAGCCCCCCATGAACAATAGGTGTGAGTCAGGGATGGTGCACATGATCCTCTATGAACAACAGAGCCAATCAAGGCACTAACGATCTAGAATAGAAACTGAGTTGAATTAAGTCATTTTCCAACAATGTACATAATGTTCATCTATTGTTAGGCTGATGGCTCTCTTTTGCAAGTGAACAGTGTTGTTTTTTTACATCAAAGTACACATTATATTGTTTTCTCCCTAATCTAAGACCCTAATACATGTAATATGTGTGACCTGCATTAATACAGCCAGTTTTATCCACATTAATATTTATTTAAATAAGCACAAAGATTTATCCATTGTTTGATATTCATAGATTTGGCACATTTTGAAAATGATCTGAATATATATATATATATATATATA